CAAACTGACATGGGAGATCAGGCACTACTATGGGTAATGTGAAATGAGAGATCTCTTAGTGCTTTCTGCTTAAGAGAGGAGCACAACAGAGCATTTCAGTGCATGCTATAGTTTTCTGTAACTGATTCACAGATCTGAGTGGTATTGCAGCAATGTGTCAGGTTCAAGAGGGATCTATTCCAGCAAGCACAGTAGCCAGGGAGAATGAGTACCCCTCACTACAGGATATATGATTAGTTACTGCAACGCATTATATACCCAATGACTCATTTCTAGACAGTGGACAGTTATCACGAAAGGCCTTTACACATTGTTCTGAAATGTCATTAGGTATTCTTGGCTGATAATCTTTCTCTCTCTCTCTGCTTTTCCTCTCTTTTTCATTTTTTCCCTGCTGAGACATGCTGAGATTTGGTTTAGAATGCATTCTTCCTCCCAGGTCACGCATGCACAGCATGCACAAGCGGAAAGATTATGACCAAAAGGAAAGCACCCAGAAACGTTTATGATAACAATTCAACAAGCAAAAGCTGTACAGTTGTGGCAATTTTGTGTGTCTTCTCTGCCCCCTCTCCCCATCCATGGCAACAGATAGAGAAACAAAACACTTCCTGTCTTCCCACAAAAGATGGTTTCTTTTAGATTTTAAAACCAATTGGAGAAAACAGAACAATGTCAACAGCTAGTCAAGGTCAACTCTGTACCTCTGTGCTGGAGCTCAGCTGTAGCCTTCCTTGATTACAGAGGCAATCGGGTGCAGCAACAGGAGTTTATAGGAGCTTGCTGAACATACAGCGGAGGACAATGATGCAACTTGGCCCATACAGTCAACTATTAATTCCTTTAAAGTGTTGCAAATTTAGGAAGCTTTATTCATGCATTTTAACTGTATTTATCTGATCAACATAAGCAGAGGGTCCCCCAGATTTTGCCTTGCCTTTTTAACCATAAAATCTTTACTAATGGCTTTTGGAATAAAAATCCTATTTTTCACCCAGACATGCAGTGTAAGCCACCAAGGATGTATTCCGAACAGCTAATTCTTGCTGCTCTACATTTTGTGGATGAAAGTAGCATTGCTGAAAGAACAGAAAAATAACATTGCTATATCAACACAATACGTGAACGTTCCTTGAAATATCTGGATTTATAAAAGCAGAAAGGAAAGTAATTTCCATAGTACTGTAGTACTCTCCTCTGTCAGCCTCTGATCACTACCAGCTGGGACATTATACCTGAGGAAGTATCCCTGAACGATCACCCTGTTCCAGCACTGCTGCCTGCTAACATCTGCTATTGCCCTCTGTTGGACACGAGGTGGGGCTTGACAAACCTTTAACTGATTCATTATGGTTGTTACGCTCCCCGCTTTATCTGCACATAAGAAGATGGAATTAGCAAGTTAGAGGAGGACATAATAAACACTAAATGTGCAAATTATCCCCCCTACTCTGTGCTACATATTCTTAAGTACCCGACAAATCTGGGCATGGATTCCTATTCCATTATAACTGCAAAATTAAGCATGGACAAAACCTCCTCAGGAGGATTGCTCTGTCTGATATTCCCATGAAGAGGAATACTAGTTTCAGTTGTGTTATTTTATATTTTCAAGAAAATCACACAGTTTGTAACACGAGTTCAAACCTTTAAAGGTCCAATTTGGCAACCAGGCAATCCAGGCTCGCGATCAGAAATGCTATGGAAAGAATGCCATTCAGCGTACTGGCTAAGTCTGCTCTATACACGGAGGCATAAAGAACTAAATAGAGAGAAAGCCAATCTCTTTTGGGCCTCCACACTTTACTCTGAAAACACCCTCTAAGCCACCTTTGGATGATTTAACTGCCTTTATTGAGCTCATTTATTATGGTTTGAATTGGTCTAGTTTCAGTGAAAACTTTGGGACAACTTGGTACTAGATTCAAGTTCCAGTGGCAAAGACCAAATAATTGAATCCTCACAGGAGCTCACAATGAGGAAGGTTTCCAACTTCATGTCTGTGCCTAACAAAGCACACGCTTAAATCCCAGACAAGTAAATTTAAATAAGGCCAGATGGACATTTAAGATGAAGTCAGCTTGGTGCATGTTTATTTTTTCCTCCCCACAAAGAACTTAGGGTGACACTGGGGGGTTAAAGAGATCACATGCAGCCATTTTCAATTCAGATTTTAGATCCTGAGTGGATGAGGGTAACATAAGAAAGAAAAGTTTTGGACTAATCTGATAATAAACCCTTCAACTTGCTCATAAATTAAACTCAATTAATATAGATTACATTTCAAAAGTTACACTCCCAGGTCTCACAGACTTTCCATGATTTTTAAATGCCTAGTTGCCTTATGTAATTTTGAAAATCCGACTCTACAAGGTTAAAAATGTCTTTGTGAGTTAGACGACTTCTCTAAAATGAGGCACTGGTCTCAGTCATCTATCAGTGTCTAGATGGAAACTTGCTTCAGTTTCGTTTTGCTGTCCTAACAAAACAGGTTTTCTCCCCTCTGCCTGCTAGACAAAAGTGAGATATTTTCAATCAATACTTAGTCACTTTCAGCTCTTCTAGTTTTTAATTACAGCTCTGGAAAGCAAATGTATTAAGCAATATAAACTGAGAAAAAAGTTAAATGAGGAAGTATTATCAGAGACAGCATTGCCTGCTGCTTTTAGGTATGCACATCCAAAAGGGTATGTCTTTACCATCTTCCATAGCCAGAAATCATTGGGATACCATTATCAAACATCTTATCAAAATTAGGCCACTTATGAGGACTTTGGATAAATCTCATTCACTAACCTTTTATTGACTGAATAAAAATCATCATCCCAGAAGTACTTAATCTGATGAAACCTCAAGCTTATGGGCCTTACTGTTTCTTTCTTTAAAACTCAAGAAAAAGACTCCACAGAGAAAGTCCTTTTACAACAGTAGCTTTCTCTCCACACTATCCCTGACAGTACATTTTTTACTAACGGTAATGAAATACACAGCACACATATTCCCATAAGCCTATACAAAATAAAATCAGGGTCTCCCTGTAGCTCACTACAGAAAAATGGAAGAGCCTCACCCAGGAGAAGACTTCTTTGCTAGACAAGTGGGAGGTCACTGCCATTTTGCCATTACAGTCTATAGAGATCGTAAAAGGAGAGGGAATTAGCAAAAGCAGTTCATTCATCAAGATGACAGATGATACTGGTTTTTGGTTGAGATTTTAGAAGGTCTCCACACATATCGTTCCCTCTCCTCCACTAACTTCAACTTTCTTCACAAACACAGTCTGAATTAAGACTAAACCTTACTTCTCATTTGGAAGTCATAGGGTGTTTGTTTATTTGTGATTTTTATGTGGTGATGCAGCACTGCCTCTTCTGCAAGAGGGAATTTGGACAATGGTGGGCAAACAGAAGGAAAACATATCCCCATGTACATCCATCTCGGACGCCTGAGCGCTGTGAGCTGCACCCACACATGGAGGGTGTCCACTTGTCACTGCCTCCATCACCAGCGCTGGAACTCTCTGGATCAAAAATTATAGCAATGCCTCGCTTGATGTTTCTCCACTCACAGATCTTCCACAGAAAAGCTCTTCATAAGTTTTATACTTTGTAAAGCTATGGCACGCAGCAAGGATGTGGTTTGCTGATGGTAACGCAGCTGGAAAGCAGTATTGCCAGGAAGGGTGGCCATCACACCCTCACCACGTGCAGCCCAGTGAAAGACACTGTTTATTGCTCAGGCACAGTCAGAGGAATAAAACATGACTAGCAGATGGTAAGAGTAGCACACAACATGCTGTCTCATCGCATAAGCCTGCAAGAAGTTTGACAGAGCTGCTTGAGCAGTCAGGCTGGACTGGAGGCAAGTGACAGAGCGTTCCCTGATGCCTGCAAACAGTCCAGGTTTTACTACTGAAGCGGTGGCATGAAACATTATCCTTCTTAATCACCCAGTGGAGCCTCCCTAAAAGATATTCTCTGAATTAGGGAAGCGAGTTAGTCATGTTTCAAGTGTTAGTGTTAGGGTGAACTCTAAAGAGGTATCATAAAAGTTAATGTCATAGTAGCTCTTACACAATAGATATTGATTGTTCTAATTTCAGGCCTTCCAGAGAGGACTAACACTTAACATTTAACCAGGGGAAAGTTATATTTTACATCTCATTTACAGCCAAATCATTAGAACCAGAAAAGTAGACTGGGGGTGGGAGAAGATTCAACAAATGTCCATGTATCAGACAGCCTAAATTACCTTTGCTGAATGTGAACAATATTCTTCAGCTGTTTTTGAGAAGGATGCCATAGAAAGATGACAGAAATGACTGTGGGTAGGAAGCTAGAAGATTTTGCAGGGGCTTTTTTTTTTTTTTTTTTTTTTTTACCAAAATTGAATCTTGCAAGTACTATTGCCATCCCATTCCTTGTGTAAAGTAAATAATTTTTTGTAACACATGCAGAGCTGTAATCTACGTAAACAGCTGTCAGGGCATTTCTGGAAGAGAGTGATTCTATTAATTTCATAAAACTCTGATCAGAACAATATGTGAGCAACAAAACAACAATATATAAAGGCTCAAGCATTCATTTTAGCTTTATGCAACCATTTTGGAGCCTGAAACTTTATTTTGGCTTTTCTATCCACCATCTAAATATCTCTGAAACACTTTCATACTGCCAGCATCCATCAGCAACAGATTAGCTTGGGGCTTTGTCATATATGGGATAATTTCTGTCCACTGGTAGGAAAGTTGTGCAGCTGTGCTGGCACTAACTACCACAAAGATACTGTAAATGAAGACCAGACAGGTCATAGGGACTGAGGCACTTGTCCTGAATCCATAAATCCTATTGTCCAGCCTCATAGTTTTGTGGCTTTCAAAGAGAATGAGAAACCAAATGTATAATAAACAAAATATTTGAAGACATTCTGTCTTGTGACTCTGCACATTACAGAAGGCTGCAGGTTAAAGAAATCTCATAAATTAGAAATCTCATAGCTTACTATTGCAGGCTGACTCCAAATTGCTGGGTAGGTAGAGGTGGCCGTGGAGGAGGAACCTTAACCACAGGTGGCAGTATTCCCTTCTGTTTCCTCCGAAGATTTTCATCATGTCTGCAGAAATCAAGGAATCGTTGATTTTTCTGTGCACCACGGCTGACAAACTATGTATATGAACAGCTACCAGTATTGTTCATGATGCCAATTTCCTGACAATAGCGTATATGCTGCAGGTCTTACAGAACTTGCATTTAATTCAAGCATTAGGGAAATGTTTAAGTAGTATTTGCGATAGAATACTTAAGCAATAAGTATAAGAATACTCTTTTGCTTCAGCCAATGGAGCATAGTAATAAATGTGTCCAAAAAATAGGAACACGCTATAATTTAACAGCAAAATTCAAACCTATTTGTTACTCAAAATACAACTCCCCTTTCTTCGGCAACCATGCAATCCAATTTATAACCTTAGAGCTAAGGTATTTTCTGTTATTCCATATTTACACAAAAGGTGTGTAAAAACCCACCAGGCATCAATAACAGTCATAATCAAAGCTTCCAGTTACTTTCATTCAGCAGTGACATAAAATCACTTCCTGTCAGTACATCAAAGCATTTCCATGTAAAGCACTGTGTCAAAAAGGCTGTTATTGATACTATTACTGGCACTTGACAATTCCAGCCCTATGCATTTATTTTTCTTTTCCTGGGCCGCCCCCTCTCCCATACTCCTCCGTAACACACATACACGCATGATATAAAATAATGGATCCGCTCACAACAGACGTATCCATAAAGTTTAAAATCAATCAAGACTTTGCTGACTGGGAATGCTCTTAGTGAAAGGAAGTCACTTAATCTGTTACAATATGCAAGCAAAGAGGTCAGAATAACATTTTTGCCCATGAATGTTATGTGATACTCATAAGCAGTAATGATATATGAATTGGTTTTGCTAACGCTCCCACAGAAGCTGCAATTATACTAAGAAAATGCTCCACAACTGAGAGGGAGATGTTCCGAATCTGTAAAAAAAACTGTATAGCGTTGTCTTCTCTAAACATCTGACGCCCTTCAGCACATCTTTGACGTCAATGCAGTTTTCAGAACTAAATCCAATCAAGCACAAATAGGTAAATTAGACTTTTAATCACTGAAGAAATAGGATTAGATTCTGCTTGGAATACAGTGAACAGGATGAACTTCTACCTGCAAAAAGGTGAGACAATGTATTTTAAACTTGCCACGTACCGGATGACTTCTTGAGGGATATTTAGCTGGTCATACTTGAGATGCTCTCTCAGGTCACTTAAATAGTTCAAGTAGGTGATTTTTTTCCCAAACTTATGGCTAAAAAAAATAAAAAAATATCACAAAGTAGTATAAAAATCAGCATGGGAGGAACATTTATGAAGGGTTTAGTTTCTATTACAAAAATGTAAGTGCTGATGCAACTCAAAATTAGACTGTAATCGAAGCAGCAGGAGACATAAGATGTATTTCATTTCATATGATCAAACATACACAGTGCATGCCTGAGAGTCTGATTTGAATAAAAATAACTGACTTCCATCTGAATGCTTTGTGATTTGCATAGATATGAAAAACACTGCTTTAAAAGCCACTGAAAAACAGCTTTCGCACAGCATTAGAAAGCTCACTAAAAACTGTTAACTTTGGAGAAAATGTTACACGGCCAACAGAACAACATGTTCGTGTTATTTAGGTATTCCTCCCTGCCAAAAGACAAAATAATGGGGTTGTGAACACAAACCATAAAGTAGTAAGTGACAGGTGAGCTTTTCAAAGCATGGATAATGTATAGCCTCGAAGTGGTGGGCCATCAGCTTTATCTGTTTTGAAAAGGGCTGGAGAGCTTCCAGGAAACATGCTGAATAATGCCTTTCTATAAGTTGCACAAAACAGACTTCCAAATTGGAAGCACCAGGTATCACTAGTTAGGTCTTGAGTTTCAGCCAGAATACACTACTCACAGGCTGAGGCATTCAAACAAGGT